GCACACAGTTATTTCACCGTAACTCACCTGCTGCCAGTTTTTTCTTCCTGGCTTCTGCGAGGTCACTCTGGTACGTTTCGCAACACTCAGGGATGACTCCGTACAGGCTGACGTCCGGGGAACGGAGGGCACTCAGCGTTTTACCGACATCGCCACTCTGCACAGCCTCATTAATGGCAAAGATTCCGACGGCAACTATCGCGGAAGAGAACCGTTACCAGAATAGTTTAGGGAGCACCTCCGCTCATACACTGGTTCACCTGGCTACGCCTCCTGGGAAGCTGTTCCCCCACATGTGATCTCCCTGACGCGACATGGAGCACCTCGCCCCCCGCCCTCCCCCAAGAGAAATAAACCAGCGATACGTACACCTCTGTGCTTCCTGGGTGTCTTTGTTGGACTGCCAGATTCCGCCTTGAATTTCATCCAACCACAACACAGCGGACTCATCCTGGGTTTCCTGCGCACCGTGAAAAGCAACATAATATTAAGAGCCATGAAATTAGGGCCGGTGGGATAATGGGGCTTCTGAGACTCGATGAGATATGGAGGAAGTTTCAAACACGTGAGACACATGGAATAGTCAACTGGAAGAAGCAGAAATAAAAAAACAACAAAGGTGAAGCCCGGCCGGTGTTGCTCAGTGGATAGAGCATCGGCCTGCAGACTCAAGGGTCCCAGGTTTGATTCCGGTCAAGGGCATGTCCCTTGGTTGCAGGCAGATCCCCAGAAAGCAACATAATATTAAGAGCCATGAAATCAGGGCCCCTGGGATAATGGGGCTTCTGAGACTCGATGAGATGTGGAGGAAGTTTCAAACACGTGAGACATATGGAATAGTCAACTGGAAGAAGCAGGAATAAAAATACTGGTGAAGCCCAGCCAGTGTGGCTCAGTGGTTGAGCAGCAAACAAAAAAAACGGTGAAGCCCGGCCGGTGTGGCTCAGTGGTTGAGCATCGACCCAGGAACCAAGAGGTTGCCAGTTCGATTGGTTGCGGGCTCCATCCCTGGTGCAGGGCGTGCAAGAGGCAGCTGATCAATGATTCTCTCTAATCATTGATGTTTCTATCTCTCTATCCCTCTCCCTTCCTCTCTAAAAAAACCAGGAAAAAGATATTTTTAAAAAACTGGTGAAAGATTACAAGAGAAATGCTTCAGACAAAGTGATAAAGATGCGAAGATGAATTCGCGTGGCTCAGGAGGTCAAAAGCAGCGAGAAGGGGCAAAAGAGCAACCTGGGAAGGAACCCAGGGAACTTGAGGACATCTCTGTCTGACCACTAGCTAACCAAGCAGAGACGTCAGTGGACGCACATGATAAAGAGCACAGACTTAACAGAAGCAAAAGCTGCTAAACAAATGACAACAATCAGGGACAACAACAAGCCCTGAGGGAGAGGGCAATCTGATTTTCAGAGCTGCCCTGTTATTTTATTAAAATGTCCAATTTTCAAAAACTACAAGACAGCCCGGCCGGCGTGGCTCAGTGTTTGAGCATCAACCTATGAACCAGGAGGTCACAGTTCGATTCCTGGTCAGGGCACATGCCCGGGTTGCAGGCTCGATCCCCAGTGTGGGGCGTGAAGGTGGCAGCCGATCCATGATTCTCTCTCATCACTGATGTTTCTCTCTCTCTCTTCTCTCTTCTCTCTCTCCCCCTCCCCCCCCCGCCCCTCTGCAATCAATAAAAATATTTTTTTTTAATAAAAGACCTCCTGACTTAAAAAAAAACAACAACACAACACTACAAGACATGCATAGAAACAGGAAAGCCTGGTCCAAAAAGGGGGAAAGCTGACAAACGAAAATGTCTAAATTGATCCTGGTAGACAGAGACTTATATCAGCTATTTTAAATATGTTCAAAGAACTATAGGATATAAGAACAAGTCTCACCAAAGAGAGAATGATCAAGAAAGAAATAAAAATTATTTTTTTTAAAAAAGAAGAATCAAATGAAATTTGGGAGTTGTAAAATACAATGACTGAAATTTTAAAAGAATTCCTAGAGGGCATCAGCTATTTTAAATATGTTCAAAGAACTATAGGATATAAGAACAAGTCTCACCAAAGAGAGAATGATCAAGAAAGAAATAAAAATTATTTTTTTTAAAAAAAAGAAGAATCAAATGAAATTTGGGAGTTGTAAAATACAATGACTGAAATTTTAAAAGAATTCCTAGAGGGACTCAGCAAACTGGAAGATTAGTCCACTGAAATGACCCAGTCTGAGAAACAGTAAGAAAAAAGAATCAAGAAAAATGAACAAAGCCTCAGAGAGCCAAGGACACCATCGATAATATCCATATATGCATAATGGGATCCCCAAGACAAGAAGAAAAAAGGCAGAAAGAATACGTGGAGGAAGTCTGAATCGACCTATAACAGATATAGAGATGGAATAACAATCAAAACATATCCTCCAAAAACAAAGCCCAAAACACAGGACCACACGGCTTCACTGGTGAATTCTACCAAACGTTTAAAGAAGCTAACACCAATCCCTTACAAACTCTTCTGAAGCAAAGACGAAGGCGGCAAACTTCCCAATTCATTCTATGAGGTCAGTATTACCCTGACACCAAAGCGAGACCCAAAGATACCACCAGAGAACTACAGGTCAAAGTTAAATGAAGACCTTTTGCTTGATAAATTTGGAAATCAGATTATTATTTTTTAAAACCACTTTCAAGAAGGCCCAGACATAGTTACAAGCTAAGCTGAGGCCTAAAAAAGGCTATTCCATCTAATGTGTAGTCCACCCAACCCGACCTGGCAGTGTTAAGCAAATTCCCTCTAACACCACCCCCGTCCTCTGTAAAGTTATTCCACAGCAAACGGAAATGCTTCAAACTCTAGTCACATCCTCTAACAGCTTAACTCCCACAACCCTACCAAAAGGCTCAGAGCATGAGTGAGAGCAGGTACAAGTTAGAGCCTCAATCTAGCTTCCTTTTTTAGACATGGAACCTGGCCTCGTTTATTCTCCCAAAGTCCACTTCTCTGTCAATCAAACATAAGATTCCTTGTGGACTTATATGGCAGCAAAAACAAACATTACCACTGGGGTCTATACAGAATCACTACAGCCAGGCCCCCAGTTATAGAGATTCTGAATAAGCAGAAACAAGAGTATAAATCTTAGGAATCTGCATTTTTAAAATAACTTTTAAATTGTTCTGATGATCAGCCAAGTTTGGGGAGAACTGCCCAGCCGGCATGGCTCAATGGTTGAGCAGTGACCTAGGAACTAGGAGGCCACAGGTCAATTCCCGATCAGGGCACATGCCCGGGGTTGTCGGCTTGATCCCCAGTAGGGGGCGTGCAGGAGGCAGCCGATCCATGATTCTCTCTCATCATTGATGTTTCTCTCTCTCAACCTTTCCCTTCCTCTCTGAAATCAATTTAAAAAAATTAAAAAAAAAATGTTTGGGGCCCAGCTAGCATGGCTCAGTAGCTGAGCGTTGACCTATGAACCAAAAGGTCAGGGTCCAATTTCAGGTCAGGGTACATGCCAGGGTTGCAGGCTCCATCCCCAGTAGGGGGCGTGCAAGAGGCAGCTGATCAATGATTCTCTCTCATCATTGATGTTTCTCTCTTTCTCTTCCACACCCTTCCTCTCTGAAATCAATTATATATATACAAATCCCTTTGTCTCAATTTCCTGGCTACAAAATGGGAGATATGATTCAACCCTCACCACAGGATCAACTGACAGTCAGCGTATTAATGTGCCTCTTATATGAAGCTCGGTACTGGCTGCATTTACATGATCAGGACATGGTGATGTTAACTACTGTACTCTGATGACAAGGGAATCAAAGGAGATTTTTCAACATCATAATGTCACCCACAACTCCTCCACCTCTGACCCATGGGGGTTGGTGTACAAAAGTTGCAATCCGCCCTGACTGGTTTGGCTCAGTGGATAGAGTATCCGCCTGCGGACTGAAGGGTCCCAGGTTCGATTCCGGTCAAGGGCATGTACCTGGGTTGTGGGCACATCCCCAGTAGGGGGCGTGCAGGAGGCGGCTGATTGAGGTTTCTCTCTCTTTGATGTTTCTCATTCTCTATCCCTCTCCCTTCCACTCTGTAAAAAAATCAATAAAATAATTAAAAAAAAAAAAGTTGCAATCACACAGATGTCTTGGTCTGTTTTTCTATCTTTGGATTCCCAGAAAGCATCTAACCTCCTGAATTAAGAATTTCCTTCAGCTCTTCGCTTGCTATGAGAACCTCACTGGAGGGGTCTTCTCAGTTTAAAAAAAAAAGTTGTGGTCCTCCCTACATAATTGCTGTTAGTTAGGAAGAACTTAAAAAGAGACTAACGACAATTAGAGAAACAGAGGTAAAGATGCTTTCATCACGCAACTAATATCTGAGGGCCGACTACACACAAACTAGCTCCCTGCTCAGCAACAGCATAAACAGAGGTATAAATCTTGTCCACTTCTTCAACAAACTAGCCGAGAGGCAAGACAAACTTTTTAAAAGATGGGTTCGTGTTACAATTACTTTGGAAAACTTTTATGTTCAGTGCAGCATTATTCCAATAGCCATAAAGTGGAAACAAGCCATATTTCCATCAACTCATAAATGGAACAATATTCCAAACAATGGAGTATTATCCAACAATAAAAAGAGATAAAGTAACCCTAGCCGGTTTGGCTCAGTGGATAGAGCATCAGCTTGCAGACTGAAGGGTCCCAGGTTCGATTCCAGTCAAGGGCACATGCCCGGGTTGTGGGCTCCAATAGGGGGCATGCAGGAGGCAGCTGATCAATGATTCTTTTTCACCATTTTTTTCTCTCTCTCATCATTGATGTTTCTGTCTCTTTCTCCCTCTCCCTTCTTCCCTGAAATCAATAAAAACATTTTTTTTTAAAGAGAGATGAAGTACTAACACATGCTACAACTTGGATAAACCAAGCTAAGTGAAAGAAGCCAGTCACAAAGAACCACATACTGCATTATTCCATTTATACTGAACGTCCAGAACAGACAAAGAAAGTAAACTCGTAGCTGCCTGGGGCTGGAGAGATTGAGGGGAAATGAGGAGCGGTGACCATGAGTGCTGGGTTTCTTTTGGGCATGATGAAAATGTTCTCAAATCGGTTATGGTGATGTTTGCACAATCCTGTGCATAGACTAAAAACCACTGAATTATACACTTTAAAGTGATGAGCTGTATGATAAATGAATTATATCTCAATAAACCTGCTTGAAAAAACCACAATCCTCTGTGGCATGATGTACTAAAACTTACATGTATCATCCTACATAGTAAAAGCCTAATATGCTAAGTGTCCCGTCGTCTGTTCAACCAATCAAAGTGTAATATGCTAATGATATGCTCAGGCCGCTCAACCGCTACTATGATGTGCACTGACCATCAAGGGGCAGATCCTCTGACCAGTAAGTTAGCTTGCTGCTGGGGTCCGGCTGATCGGGACTGAGCAAGACGGGCCGGACACGCCCTGGAGCCCTCCCACGGTCCGTCCCTGGCTGGTCAACCTCCCGTGTCCCTCCCCTGCCCCGATCGTGCACCAGTGGGGTCCCTCAGCCTGGCCTGTGCCCTCTCGCAATCCGGGACCCTTCGGGGGATGTCAAAGAGCCTGTTTCGGCCTAATCCTGTTCAACGCAGGAGTTGCTCCTGGTGGCCAGTGCGCTCCCACAGCGGGAGCACTGCTCAGCCAGAAGCCGGGCTCACGGCTGATGACAGGTCATTCCTTCCGCTGTTTGGTTGATTTGCATATTAGGCTTTTATTATATAGGATTAATTTTAGAGAGGAAGGGAGAGGGAGAGAGAGATAAAAACATCAATGATGAGAGAGAATCATTGATCAACTGCCTCCTGCTTGGCCCCTACTAGGGATTGAGCCTGCAATCTGGGCATGTGCCCTTGGCCGGAATCAAACCCGGGACCCTTCAGTCCGCAGGCCAGCACTCTATCCACTGAGCCAAACCAGCTAGGGCTGACTTACGCATTTTTGGGTCTTATATTTCAATGCAGAATTTACTCAGAGACAGGGAGATGTGTTGACAAACAACAACAATAAAAAAAAATAGCCAAATGTGTAAAATAGCAAAGCTTCCAAGAGGCAGAGTCTATGTCCCTCACTCCTGTGTCCCCACAGAGCTCTGAGCGTGAGGTGCCCGGGAGCAGTCCCTGAGGGATCAGGGGAGGCGTCACACCTGCATCTCGGTGCTTGGAGGGAGGAAGTTCCCGGAACAGAAACGACCCTTCTGATGCCACTCACCTGGGCTTTCTCTCTCTTTGCTCGGATCAGCGTGTCTTGGTAATGCTGGGCCACTCCTGCCAGGACACCCTCCAGTTTGGCTGCAGGAATCTGCAGGGCCTGCAGGGTCTTTTGGGCATCACCTTCGTCCAGGGCCTCGTTAATTAAGCCGATGGCTAAAATCCCTGAAGAGGAAGAAACAAAGGTCATTTCTTTAAGAAATTCCATAAACAAATCGGTCTGTAAACATGCTAAGTACACATAAGTCTACCCAAGCTTTGCCATGATTCAAACCGTAATTTGTCATCCATAATATTGAGCAGCATGGTCCCTTTAAATTTAGTGTTTGTTTCACTCAAAATAAATGGCCTTATACCCATATTCCTATTGAAAGCTCAAGTCCTCTTGTTTTATGTGTAATTGCTCTCACTTAAAAGTGTGAAGATTTTGCCTGGCGGCATGGCTCAGTGGTAGAGTGTCACCCTATGAACCAGGAGATCACGTTTCAATTCCCAGTCAGGACACGTGCCCAGTTTGTGGGATCCATCCGCAGTGTGGGACATGCAGGAGGCAGCCGATCAATGATTCTCGCTCATCATTGATGTTTCTAGCTCTCTCTCCCTCTCCCTTCCTCTTTAAAATCAATAAAAAATATATATTTTTTAAAGTGTGAAGATTTTGATGAAACTGGCTTTATAGTATAGTTTTCAGGTACATTTCAAATTGTAGCATTAACCATTCTTGACTTACAAAACGTCAGAGTTCAAGGGATCTTAACCAGTCACCTAACTCAATATTATTGTAGGAAAAAGATGAGGCTTAGGGATCTCTTCCAAGATCACACAGCACACAAGTGGCAGACGGAGGACCCACGCCCGGGGCGCCCTGCTCCACGCAAGGCTCTGTCCACTAAATCAGTGGAATGTTTCTCACAAGGAACACAAAGTAAACTGCAAATGTTCACTCCCACGGCATCTCAGTCAGCTGTGCTACTTCAGTAAGGGTTCTATTGTATAATCAAAACTTTGGGCCCTGCTCAGTGGATGGAGCATCAGCCTGCGGACTGAAGGGTCCCAGGTTCGATTCCTGGTGGAATGTTTCTCACAAGGAACACAAAGCAAACTGCAAACGTTCACTCCCATGGCACCTCAGTCAGCTGTACTACTTTGGTAAGGGCTCTATTGTGTAATCAAAACTTTGGGCCCTGGCTGGTTTGGCTCAGTGGATGGAGCATCCGCCTGCGGACTGAAGGGTCCCGGGTTCGATTCTGGCCAAGGGCATGTACCTTGGTTGCGGGCACATCCCCAGTAGTGAGTGTACAGGAGGCAGCTGATTGATGTTTCTCTCTCACTATCCCTCTTCCTTTCCCTCTGTAAAAAATATAAATTAAATATATTTTTAAAAAGAAATAGACATATAATTTTTATTATTCAAAAAGTGACTCCTATTCACATGGAGGAAGCCTAAAAGGCCATTAACTTGGTCTTAACAAGCTTCCAAAGAACATGGCATCCATGAAAGAGAAAAATAGAAAGAAGGAAGGACAGTTCAAGTACTGAGGAAGAAATCACTAAGAAATTGTTTTAAAAAATAATAAAAATATGACGTGATATAAAAAATAGCAAATAAAGTTCCAAAACATATGAGAACTGAAATGCATAACTATGTCACAATATATGAGGCCCCTAGAACCATACGAAATGCAAAAAATTCATTGTTAATAACTCATTCTCGAATTGCCCCCCTTAAAAATCAAATTGCCTCCCTGTTGGGCGTGTGCCCCACGTTAGGAACCACTGGTCTAAACCCTTAGAATTTCCCAAGTGACAAAAATAACTTTGTCATTCATGGCAGGCCCTGGAACCACCCCTGCGTGTAACGCTAGCCAGGTGACTTCCGGTCATTCATGGCAGGCCCTGGAACCACCCCTGAGTGTACGCTAGCCAGGTGACTTCCGGTGGGCCCCTAGGTAGTTTCAGGATGGGGGCTAGCCATGCTGGAAAGGCCAACCATGTGATTAGAAGGCTGGGTGGGGCTTTGAGCCATGTGATACGTTAGCCCAGCCTCCCTGTCTCCAGGGAGGGAGGTGGTCTGGAAATGAAGTTCAATTACATGGCCAATGATACAGGCATCATTGTCTGTGAGGAAGCCCCGATAAAAATGCTGGCTCCCCGAAGCTCAGGTGAGCTTACCCGGCTGTGCTACCCATCGATGTGCTGGCAGCGGGCCCAGCCTGATTTCTAATAAAACTAGACTCATAAATATAGCACTTCCCTGAGTTCTGGGAGTCAATCTAGATATTACTGAACCTGAGTGGGTGGAGGAAACACCTGAATTTATACCAAGTTGTTCAGAAATGCTGTGACCTGAGAAGTCCAGGACTCCCAGCTGACGCCTGAAGTGGAAGGACCGTGCCCTCAACCCATCAACACAACCCAACTCCAGGAAGCTAGTGTCTGAGCTACTTGCCATAACAGCACTTAAAAATAAAAAATCATGTTCAATTCATCTCCCGAAAAACTCATATATATATATATTGATTGATTGCAGAGAGGAAGGGAGAAGGAGAGATAGAAACATCAATGATGAGAGAGAACCATTGATCGGCTGCCTCCTGAATGCCCCCTACTGGCGATCAAGCCCACAACCCAGGCATGTGCCCTTGATGGGAATCGAACCTGGGACCCTTCAGTCTGCAGGCTGTCACTCTATCCACTGAGCCAAACCAGCTAAGACCATCTCCTGAAATTTTTAGTTATGACCAAACATACCTCATTATAGCAGTTGCCTGGTGTTTTGAAAGTAATATCCAACCTTAGCTTTTGAAGTTACACATATATTTCAATTTTCAAAAATCCCCCCAGGAGTCATGGTTAGAACCAGCTCATGGCATCACGCCGCCTGCACGGTGACACTTGGGGGGATGGGAACGGACTACTCACTCTCGTGCTCCTCCTGCACCACCAGATTCACGTGGTCCACGCAAGCCTGGATGTCGTTCCACGTAATGAACTCGTTCTTCTCTGCATGAGCCTGGTCTTTCAGCTTCATCAGCTCATCCAGATACCTGCCCCATCCCCCAATAACAAAGGCAATGAAGTGCAACAGAATCAAAGGGGCCTTCAGGATCACTGTGGGTGACAGGAATGGGGGGGGAGGGGCAATGAGGGCGAGGGAGGGAACAGTGGGCAAAGTACCCAAGAACACAGACAGTTAAGGTACCCCTCAGTTTGATATATTCTAGAGGCCAGCTCCAGGCCTGAGTTACCTTAAAGAGAATGTGAACATGGAAGGGTATCACCTATTTATTCTTAACAGCCTCTCAATTCCAAGTAAGACCAACTCTAGAACCAGAGAGAGGCAGCAGCCCCAAGATAAGGAAACAAGGCCACACACTCGCTAGGAAATGTAGGGGGAATGATTTACCAACAAGTCATCATTCAGCAGCTCTTACTCAAGTACCGATTTAGGCAAGGATTATCAACTGGGGTCAAACGTACTAAGCCAGTGGTTAATGTGGAACTGTGCATGTTGCTGATGCAAAAGGTGCAAAGAGATTATGACCTAGTGAGAGATATACACAGACATCCGCTGGAGAGATAAGCTGTCCCCTAAAGACCAATCTTAGTACTGTTAATGGCAGGACAGTAGATTTCACAGGAGTCTTGATATGAGAAAATGTGAAACACATACATTACCAAAGACGTTCAACTAAATCTCGACATGCCTTTAGACATAATTTCCAACTTACAGGAATAAGACGAGTCTTTGGAAGCACCCAGAACCAGAAGGTGGGGCCTTTTATAGGACAGCTGGCCCCATCTCTCTGACAAATCAGTGTCGTGAAGAAAGGGACAATTCTGGACTCAAAGCCACCAAGGGACACAACAGAGGCAGTAACACATGGTCCCGGACCGGGTCCCGGTTTGAATAAACCAGCGGAACAGGCTTGGGACAAGTGAGGAAGCATGAAGGTGGACTCATCCAGAGGATGTTCCAGATTATTATGGCTTTTGTCAGGGTATATGATAAAGTATAAAATGAATCGAAATAGAAAAAAAAAAGATGATCACAGCGACCGTGAAGAAGACCAGAGCTGACGGCCGACCCACTCGGAGGTTCCAGCCGCCGGAGGACCCGGTCCGCTCGGCACCCACCTCTGACAGTTCTCCTCCTCGATGTTGGTCAGGCCGGTCACGGAGCTGCTCAGCTGCTTCCACACCGTGTTCATGTCTCCCGACTCCAGGGCCCTGTTGATGAGGGCCACAGACGACAGCATCTCCACCGCCACGGAGAGCTCGGGGTGGGTGAGGCTATGCTGCAAGAGCGAGAGGGGCACCGATTGAGAGACGCGCAGAAGGACCACGGGGTCTAGGTTTCTGGCTAAAAAACTCAGTGTCCCTAACTACACCATGATGTGGGTGTTCAATTCCCTCCCACTGCTCTCTGCTTTGTTTTGTGGGTTTTTTTTTTTGTTGGTTTTAGAGAGGAAGGGAGAGGGAGAGAGAGATAGAAAACATCAATGATGAGAATCATGGATCGGCTGCCTCCTGCACGCCCCACAGTGGGGATCGAGCCTGCAATCTGGACATATGCCCTGACTGGGAATCGAACTGTGATCTCCTGGCTCATAGGTCAACGCTCAACCACTGAGCCATACCGGCCGGGCCCTCCCGTTGCGTTTTTGCTCACAAGCCGGGCAGGCCCAGCTCACTTACTTCGGGACTCTGCTGCTGCAGCGTCGCCAGCTCCTTCTGATAAAGATCAGCAGCAAATGGATACACCTGGGGCAGCTGGGCTTCGGGGTTCATTAGTTCCAGAACAGTCTTCTCAGCCACGCCCTTCTGGATGGCAGTGTTGATGGCTGCCACGGCTGCCAGCCCTGGCGGAGAACAGGGTCAGAAACACAGCTGGCTGAGGGAGCCCGAGGGGAAGGAGAGGCCCGCTGTCACAGAGAGAAGGTGTGCACCGCAGATGACCTGCCACCCAAAGGGGAACTCGGTGTTTAGAAGGCGGTCTCCTTTGGATGGGGTGAACTGTAGGTATGCGGACTGCACCGCAACGAAGCCTTTATTAAAAGCAGCCTCCTCACCTACACCTTCTTTCTGCTCCAAATAACCCCCAGCCAGCACTACCCTCGCCTAAAACCTCCTCCTTTGCCACAGCTGCCAGCACGGCACCAGCTTCTCCTGCCACTCGGCGCTCTCCACTGTCTCCCCGAGCCTGACCGTACCCCACCCAGCGCCAAACACCTCCAGAAACCTGATCCCAAGCGCTGTCCTTCCACACACCTCTCACCTGCTCACACTCCTTCCCCCTGTTGCCCCGTATTAGCACCTTGCGGACCAGTAGTTCCATTGCTAGCTTTACCCAGTGGCCAGTAAGTTTCTACTGAACGAATACAAAAAGCGTTTTACATACATGTTAAAGGCACGCTTTAAAATCAAATACCCGTTGCATTTTGAGGTTATTTATTACCTGTCCTTACAAGCTACTCTCTTTTTAAAGTAGGATATTTGCAAAACATGTGAATATAAAGCGAGAATTCTCGTGATCCGTCCGCAATGTGTTAGGAACATCCTTCTCTTTCATCCTCCAAATCTCACCAGTCAACCCCGACTCTCGCCTGCTGCAGGCGTTTCCCTGACCAGCCGAGGTGCTTACTCGCTGAGCCACCGTGACAGGGGGAACCCCACTGTCAGAGGCGCCTGGTGGTGGATCACAGCACGGAGGCTGGGGTGGCACAAAGGGTGACCTCAGATCCCCAATGACATGAAGCCACTTCCCTCCCCTCCTCGGGAGCCCGGGAGCCCAGCCGGGGGGCTTACTTCTCTGGTACTGCTGGGCGGCGCTGTTGGCGGCATCCACTGCAGCCTGGAGTTCCTCCTTCTGCAGGGCATCCGCCTGGCCACTCTGAGGAGAGCAAAGGACACTCATGTCAACAGGGCTCCGGCCTCTGCCTCCAGACCAAGTTCTCCTCCCTCCGCAGCAGTCACCGGGACAGAGCCACAGGGCCAGTGGCAGCCCGGCCACGCCGGGGGTAGAGCGACTTTCTGGGTACCAGTCCATTTAAAGAGATATTTTGTGAGAAGCATCAAAATGTCCTGAGATAAAATGGTTACAGAATCACTAGCACACGTATGCTACTCACTCTGGCCAATACACGCTGGGAGTTTGTAAAATGTACGAGAAAGCCCCTCATAACTGTTCTGAAACCTACCCCCCGCCCCCCAAAAATAAAACAGTCACACAATCTGCTGTGCAGTGTTGGCCAGAGGAAATACTGAGGTGCAGTTTTTTAAAGCAGAAATTCCTGAAGTGAGAGTGTAAAAAACTCAGGTTCCCCCGATGGTTTTGGTGGGGGAAGAAGGGGAAGGCTGCGGGTGAAGGGGTGGTTAGATGGGGAAGGTGGG